GGGTTTCGAATGGATTTTAATCGAATGTTTTATTCGAATCTTTATTCGAATTCGTATTCGAATGAACTCCGTATTCAGATTATTCGACTTTGTTGCAAAGCCAACTGCTGAGTATCAAGCTCACTTTTTTTTCGCAAAACTCGGTAATGCATCTTTTGCAACCGTTATACCTTTGAACTGTATGGAGAGTCGCATTCTTCCGACTGCTTGCGACAGTAAAAAAATTATATGTGGATTTTAATGGATGTAGAAAGTAGAGCAAGCCCTTTGCTTTTACATTGTTGATGCTGATCTTATATATAAAGCTGAATGTCTGTTTGTATGTATGTATGTCTGTCTGTCTGTCTGTATGTCTGTCTGTCTGTGTGTACGTATGTTCTGAATAGAAAATTCCATTTCTGAACCGATCGGGACCAAACTTGGCACACATACACTTCGGGGCAGGGAGCGTGTCATAGGCTACTTTTCGTATCGATCGATATCGATTTTTTTGCAGAGTTCACCTACAGGGCTAGGAGTTGGCACAGGGGGGGATGTCAGAATTTACAAAAAATCGACAAAATCAATAAAAGTAATCGATAATTCTGAAAACTAATATTGTATTCGGAATCCCCATGCTCACTTTCCCCCCTGTGCCAACTCCTAGCCCTGTAGGTGAACTCTGAAAAAATCGATAAAAATCGGTAAAATCGACATCGATCGATAACGAAAAGTGGACTGTGACACCCGCCGGGGCCCGAAGTGTATGTGTGCCAAGTTTGGTCCGGATACGGCGGAGCCGGGTAAGCCAGCTAGTAAGAAATAAAGTTAATTCTGGTGTACATCAGTCTCTTTCAGACCATCTGAAGAAGAATCTTTTGGGCACAGCATAAAAATTTATATCGACTGCTTTTTAGATCGTCCATAACGGGTAAAATATGCCTTTTTGCTGATATATAGACTAGATGCCGATCGACCGACTTTATCGATTTTTGGGGAAGTTTGAGCTGCGGGGCTGAGAGTTGGTACAAGGGGGTAAGTGAGGGTGCTGATTACGGTTAAAAATTTACAGGGCTCCTAAATTGCAGAATCGTTTGCACCAGCGGTCGCGCGACCGCTGGTGCAAACGACTCTGCAGTTTAGAAGCCCTGTACTTTATGAATTCTATCGATTTTTGTGGAAAATCTCGAACTACGAGCTTGGGAGTTGGTACAGGGGGTAAATGACGATGCTGATTGAAACCGAAATCTATTTTATCGATTTCAGCAATTTTTGGAGAATTTTGAGCTAGGAGTTGGTATAGAGGATACTAGGGAGCTGATTATGATTGGATCGGCTCTAGCCAGATATGTCGGCAATTTTGAGATGTGATTGCTTTAGTTATTCGATAAATCATTCGAATATTTATTCGAAATTCGACTTCCAATGTTCGAATATATTCGATATTCATTCATTCGATATTTTTGATTTGCCGAATTTATTCGAAATTCATTCATCCGATATTTTTGATTTTCCGAATTTATTCGATATTCATTTATTCGAAATTTTTCCTTTTCGAGTTTATTCGATATTCATTCATTCGATGAAAAATTTTCGAATTACCCAAGTATAGTAGTTAGGATGAGCTCAGTGAATTGACCGAGGTACGCATTCGCCTCTGCCTCACCCTTTCACATCAAATCTGGTCACTAAAGTGGAGAGAAATGTGAAACTACCTTTGGCGCTGTTAGTCCAGCCTCACGTTTCCCTCGCTATCCAGTGAATGTCCCATTTGATCTAACCTTAAAGAATCCTTATAATGGGGAGCATTACCATGCGACTATTTATACTCACTAGCATTCTCAGTGAAGGTATTTAACTTTGGATGCTATAATTCCATCTCATTTTATACTAGTGTGGTAGCACCAATCTGCCGGTGAAGCTGATGACTGTTGACTAAGGTTTTGTTAATGATGGTTTTTATATCTCTGAGTTCTTTTTCAAAATTTCCTTATGACTACTGCATGAACTTTTTGACTAGTCGAGGGCGAATTTTATACGCCTCAAATAAATGATCATATCTGCACATACCAGATAGGATGTATAAAACTACCGTTCACGCAACTGCAAACATATCTTATGCTTGGAAGTACTCCTTCTCGATACTACTAACTGTACTGATTACTGTACAATGACAAACTACAGCAGTGTATTGGAGAAAGCAGCGACAATCTGTTAAGTTGTCACGAGTCCAAATTTATAACTCCAAAGACGTTTGTGGCGGTAAAAATGCAAAGCTCGCGAAAATTGCGTTTCGTTGGAGTGTGATCATGTTCTTCCCTATAGTCATGTCCATTCTTTAACCATTATGAAATCTAATGTAGCCACTACCTGAAAGCGTTTTAGCATGCACCCGAAGCATGATCATTATGTACTGACCATGACCTTCTGGAAGTTCCCAGTTAGTGTTAAAAATTCTCACTTATCATCTCCATTTGCTCAAAGTTTGGATAGCTCCGATAAAAATTCTACTCTACTCTTTTAAGAAGTGCAAGATGCAAGTATCGGGCTGTATGTGTTATCTAGATATTTGATTTAATCACGAAACAAGCAACTGGGACAATATTAAGAGAGTCTAAAAAATTTTGCGGTTAGAACTTGATTGACATTCGCTATCTGAGCAGAATAATCAAATTTTAATGGCTTTGTAGAGTTATCTTTTTACAAGGGAATGGTCAGAAATCGAAGCGGCCAATCTAAACCTGCATGCCATTAGATGCAGCATAAAATCCTTTAAGGAAGAAGCTTTGAGCCGTTAAAGACCTTTTTGCTAAGAAATCGTGCATGTAAACCTCAAATTTGGCAGTGCAGAGCCACGCTCGGCTCAATGCTAGGCCAAATCATGCAGTCAGCTTACTAGGCTAGGGTTTATATTCTTAAAATCTAGAAGTGAGATAAAAGTGCAACATGCGCTTAATTTCGCATTTTTTATGTAGCAGATATTGAATACAAAACTGGTTTTCCTTAAATAAACAAATAGAAACTCCTGCAACATGGCCTAAGTGATTCAAAATAACAAAATTGTTGTCAATTGCTTATCTACAGAATCGTGTCAAAATACTAGGGCGAAAATTTTTATGAAATGGCTGGAAATTTTTTGATAGGTCGAGATTTTGGTGTTAGGGTAAGACTGTGAGTTTATAAGTTTTAGTCTGCAGTATTTTAGTCTCCCCCTAAGTTTTAGTCTGCAGTATCTACTTTCTCATGCAGTAGTTATGGTAAACTGTTTCGCTTCCTCATTTAGCATTTGATTTCGGAGGTATTGATCGAACGAACCCCAGTGGGAATCCCTTCCCTTCCCCTCCTCGTATGCACGAATGTAGCTCGACAACGCGGGGGGAAGGGATCGACATCCCCTATAGGAGTAGAAATTCGACTGTGTAAGTCATGCCAGAGAGGCGAATATTCCGGTTTCAATCACTTATTACAAAGCATTTCGTTCATTGTGATGAAAAATTCCCTTTGGAAGCCGGGCTCCCCTCAGCGGCTTGTATCTTGCCATTTTATCTCTCTCTTCTATTTTTGCTTTTCGCGAAGAGACTCGAGCATATATCTGCCAGCTTCGAGCATCTGGAGGAGTTTGTCTCATTCCCGAGATCTTCGCAGTTCTAATATGACAAGATAGTTTTATCCATGTAAGCTGATCGAACACATTGTAACTATCACTATGTTATGTTGCCCTTACCTTGTCTAACATTAACTGCTTCGAAAAGAAAAACCGAAAAAGTAGTAGAATTGCCTATTTCTGAGTAGAGATCCACGGGGGAGTGATCCTCTCCTCTGTGTTCCCCTCGTGCGGGGATGACCGCTGGGGATCATTCCCTTGGGGTAACGGACAATTTGTCACTGATAGCTGCAGCGCCTTCATGGCTGTTATGTGTTAAAATACTGCTTTGAGTGTCCTCGCGCACCCCCCCCCCCCACTTTTCGGCAGCATAAAGTCTTCTACCCATTTCCCTGCAGAGACAGCTTTTCTGTTGTTTAACATCCTTACGCTGAAATGAGCAGCATGAGCGAAAGTGGACAGCATCCATGAAAGCAGGAACTTAGGGGGAGTAGAAAAATCATTTTTGGTGCGCCAAGCGCAGTCACGGCATACGCGCATTCCGCAACCCTAAATTAATGAAATTGAGGAGATGAAGAAAAGTCTGCTGTCAAAAGATGGAAATAAAGAAGAGTTTTATGTAGGAAATTTGGAAGCAAGGTGATCTTCCCGCTTAATCCGCTCTTGTGCATAAGGGGGTCCGCTTCCCCTCCCCACAGGGGATCCCTGCCGATATTGTCTGCGCGCATACGGGGATTCGCCTGGGGAGGGGAGGGAGCCCCAGCGGGGATCATTCCAATAGTAAAAGGCACATGCCCTCCCCGCGGGGATGTACGTGCATACGGGCCTAAAGATATTTGTATTCTCCGAATTCGCGGCATGCTGTGTCCGGCGCGCACTCTTGCGCGCTTGGAGCAGGCTTGCCGCCGCCATACAAAATATTTGGAGGGCTGTAACTAAGCGAGGAAGAGGGAGTTTAGGGAGATTCAAAAACTCAGTTGTAAGCTTTTTGATGTTGAACAAGGTTATGTTAAACATGTGAAAAAATTGTGGGAAGGAAGGAAAATATATGACTTTTTCTTTTCACCACCTCAGGTGGCTGTTTAGGTGGCTGGAAAGCCATCCAGCTCTTTGCCACCCCTTCAGTTCACATAATTTTTTCATAATTTTTCGCACATAGTCCTAACTTCTATTGCCCATCTCCACACCAATTTTGGTGTCATTTCAGTTTCTCTTCGCTGTAAGCAAGCCTTTTTTTTTCGGGACAGGTTTGAATTTGCGCGCTCAACCAGCGAACATGTTGAAACAGGAAATTTTTGGTTTTTGCAGATCGATATCTGTAGAACATGGGTGACATAAAGGCAGAAGGCGATTGTCAGGGGAGGGAGGGGGGCTGAGGTTTCCGCTCCAACGATATCCCCTTGCTTTTTATTCCAAAATGATATCCAGCTTGCCCCGTAAGTCACCTGTGCCGAGCCCTGCTTACAGCAATTTCGAGCTTGCCTTGAGGGAACGCTTCAGGTAAAAATTCTTAGAATTCGAGGAATTTAGGATTTTCAGTCTTCCGAGAACTTTACATTTTAGCTTCACGGATAAGCTCAGCGATAAGATAAGTACAAATAAATTGACGAATTGTAAGTTTTTGTCCAAACACTGCCTCGAAACCAATAATAGTGGACAACACAAGGTGACAAGATAAAGACTTAAATTGTATTTTTTGGATTTCGTCCGTTGAAAAAGGTAAAAAGTGGACAAACTGTACTTTTACTTTTTGTGAATCTCGTTTTGTGAACTTGGATAAATCATGAAATGATGCACTGTCGCTTGTGCCAGAATGACGAATCGTTATTTCTGAAACGGAGGAAATTGCTATATTCCATTGATTTCAGCGACGATGCATTATTTTTTGTTGTTTTTCAGCGCCAAGTGCACAACAAAGAAGGGCAAACCACCGCGCTACTGAGAAACCTTGCAGTATTTACAACACAGATTAAATTCTCTTTTGCAACACCCTAGTATGCGGAAGAGAGTTTGTTCTGTGATGTATGCACGATGAGGTTTTTCAATAAGTGTTGCAAAAATCGAGATATATAGTTGAGTTTGCATATGGCTATTTGACATGGTGGCTACCAATAATTAGAAACCATTTGACCTGCTCAAAACCTAGGCATTTTCTTGTATGAATAATTATAGTAATTTTATAATAACAAACTGTGCTAATGTAAACATTGTGATGAAAGGATACTTCAGTGTAATCACGAACGTTGAATAGTCCAAGAGAATCTCATATAGTTTGAGTTTCGTAGTAGATACAGGTCAACTTCATGCTAACTGTGGTTCACAGTTTATTCCATAAAACAACTGTTTAACATGTTGACGACAGTGTCGCGCAATGATGAGCGACAGGCAGTCCGTACAAAAGAAAGAAGAAAAGAAGCTGAAGAAGCTGTACAAAAGACTGAAAAGTGGAAAATCAGTTTTGTATGGAATATATTGTTTGTAAGGAAGGAACAAAGCCGGTGGGTATCGCTTAGGTATTGTTTTAGAGCTTTCTGTTGATTTCAAGCCACTCAATGCTTGGCAAGTTTGGACGTTCAGTGCTGAGAGTGAGAGTGCTTACAAAGGAGGGCACCTAACTTGCCAGTTTAGCTCTTTGGGAGGAGACGCATTTATTTTATGCCACATACTTACTTAGATACTTAGATACTTAGATGGCCCGGCTTCACGTGACGTGCGGGCCCCAGCTCAGAAGTTTCCATTTTTCCCTGTCCCTCGCTTCTGACATCCACGATCTTCTTGGCTGACGTCGGTGGCTGCGTCCACGAGTTCCAGGTGCAAAAATCGTATCCAGCTGATTTCTCAGCTGGTCCATCCGTTCCACAAACACGTCTGCCCATCTCGTTGGAGGTCTTCCTCGGGGACGTTTGGCTTCGCGAGGAATCCACTCCGATGTTCTTAGTGTCCATCTGTCGTCTGTTCTTCTCATTATGTGACCGGCCCATCGGTGTTTGGCTTTCGCGACGTATTCCGCTGGGTCACGAAGACGGGACATTCTTCTCATATCCGTGCTGCGAAGTCCGACTAGATGTTGCTTGCGTCGGGTCATCTTCAGAAGACTGCGCTCGAGCGCTCTGTGGGTGGTCCATAGAGCTTTCGACGTGGCTACAGTGTCGGCCCAAGTCTCAGCTGCGTAACAGAGCGCCGGGAGAACGGTTGAGTCGAACAGGTGGGCACGAAGCTCCGGGTCCGTCAGTTGGTCGGTGGCTTCCTTCAGGGGCCCGAAGGCGGCCCAGGCTGCTCTTCTTCTCCTGTTGAGTTCTTCCCTCAAGTCGTTCTCCATGTTCATCGAACGTCCGAGATACACGTAGGAAGACGTCTCCTTAATCGGGGTGCCTTCCAATTCCATTTCTGCATCTTCGCAAAGGGCGTTCCTCATGAAGTGAGTCTTCTTCCGATTTATTCGCAGTCCGATCTTCTTCCCTACTTCGTTCAGTTCCTTCAGCATCGTCTCTGCTTCGGTGATACTGCTCGAGAAGAGAACGATGTCGTCCTCAAAACGAAGGTTGGACAGGAATCTCCCATCAACTCGTATGCCTCTCTCGTCCCAGTCCAGTGACTTCATCACCCACTGCAAGGCCGCGTTGAACAGCTTCGGCGAGATTGTGTCGCCTTGTCGGACCTCCTTCCCGATTGGTATGGTCAGGAGGCGATGGAACAGCTGCATCGTTGTTGTACAGTCCTTGTAGCAGTTGGCTAGTGTCCTCACGTAGGCTGGGTCCACTCCTTGATCGACTAGCGCTGACAGGATGGCGTTGGTTTCGACGCTGTCGGAGGCTTTCTCGTGGTCGACGAAGGTTAGGACGAGAGGCAGTCGGTACTCCCGGCAGACTTCTATGACCCTCGAAACAGTCTGGATGTGGTCCATGCAGCTGAATCCTTTGCGAAATCCAGCTTGTTCTTGGGGTTGGGCTTCATCCAGTGACCTTGAAATGCGAGCGAGGATAATCTTCGTGAAAAGCTTGTACAGCACACTCAGCAGGCATATTGGACGATAGTTCCGAAGATCCTCCCGTTCACCCTTCTTGAAGAGAAGGACGGTTCTTGACGTTCTCCACTGGTCGGGAATCTTCTCCTTCTGAAGGTAAGATGTCAAATGCGACGCTAGAACATCGTGTAGACGGTGTCCTCCGGCTCGCAGAAGTTCGACGGAAAGATGATCTGGTCCTGGAGCCGTGGACGTCTTCATGGTCTGTATCGCGATACGCACTTCAGCAGGTAGAATTCGTGGTGGTACTTCTCCAGTGGGAACAACGGGCATCTGCACGGGTGTTGATGAGCGGAAGAGGTTGGTGTAGAAGTTCTTCGCGATAGATTCCATCTTGTATCGGGAAGAAGTCGGAGTCCCGTCTTCGTTCAGTAGTGCAGCCAGCGGTACGTGATATTCGCAGAGGTCTCCCTTCGGCACTTCTTGAGACTTCGTCTTCTTTCTGCTGCTTCCAGTATCTTGGCTTGCCTGTACTTCCTGAGATCCTCTTGCAAAGCTGTTCTGCAACTGGTGTTGGCAATCAGTCGCTCGAGATGAGTTGCATTCGGATCCTGCCTCAATGATCTTCTTCTTTCGAGCAATTCCTTGGTGGTCTTCGAGATGCGGTCCAAGTTCTTCTCAGAAGTCACTGAGGCGCATTCTCCGCAGGCTCGCAATCCTTTCAGAAGCCGGTCGTGGTCGTACGTTGGGTCCTCCTCGATGGGCCAGTCACAACTTGATATGAGCTCTTCCAGCCTGTTACCGTCATAAACGACTTCCTTCCTTCTCGCGGCACTATGACAGACTTTCTTTTCCAGCCTTCGGCTGAGTCGTATCTTCGCTCGAAGGAGGCGGTGATCGGAGCCACTACAGAAGGATGGAACTACAGAGACATCGAGTAAGCTCCACCTTCGGTTGGTGAGAATGTGGTCGATCTCCGCGTGGGTCGTTCCGTTGGGCGATTCCCATGTCCACCGGCGATGTTCCTTCTTCATAAAGATGGAATTTCCATGGAAAAGTCGTGCGGCGGAGAGAAGCCCAACAAGACGGTTGCCGTTTTCGTTCCGGAGCCCATATCCAAACTTCCCGATCCTATATTCCCTTTCCAGTGGCATCCCGATTTTCGCGTTGAAGTCGCCCACAACAAACTTGTAAAAGGACTTCTCGTTGCGGACGACCTCCTCCACATCTTCGTAGAAAGCATCTAGTTCTGATTCGTCAGCTGCTGATGTTGGAGAATAGCAGTTGATGATGCTGATGGTCTTCTGACGTGTAGGTCTTAGTCGTAGAATGGCCACTCGAGGTGATAGGATCTCATGCGAATCGACAAGATGGACGATAGATGGATGGACGACAAAGCCGACGTCTCCAACGTTTCGTGATGGAACCTTTTCACCACGAATGATGAGGGTCCCATCACTCATCTGTCGCACGTCGTTCTTCCTGGACTTCGTTTCCTACAGAGCAATGATGTGGTAGTTGATGTGCTCTGCAGCGTCGAGAAGAGCGTGGAGGTCGGCGTTTGTGGAGACTGTCCTGGCGTTGTAAGTGCAGAGCATGAGGCAGTCTCCATGGCGTGTCGTCCGGGCAGACGTGCCGTTTTTGTCCAATCCGAAAGGCGCCCTGAGTACCCTGACATCGTTCTTGCTACCACCCGGCGCCGTAGGCGGGATCCGATGTACAGGGTTTTTTCTAAATCTTCTTGCTGTCTGAGTAATAAAATTTGTTCCCCTACAAGAGGTGGCTTACTAGGCCTACTCTTGATTTCCACGGGGTGATCGCTGACCCCGGGCTTGGAGCGGGGAGGGACCGCCTAGCGACCAGAAGAAGCCAGACGGCGGAGAATCTGGCGCGGCCAGTTCTTAGCTAGGCATCCGGCCGAAACCGGAAACGTCGAACTCCTTCACAGCTTGGGAGGCCCTACCAGAGTATATACTCGGCTGTGCATCGCAGTTCGACACCCAGTGTCACCCCCACGCCACGATGAGGCGACCGACCATTGTGGGGGCCACATAAGGATTGACAATTTCAACTTTTTTGGAGAGTTGTTTGCAGGAAGGAAAACATATTTGGAATCACTGTCCCATGCTCCAGTAATATGGGTGTCATGGGGAAAGGTCACTTCCACTAAAAAGGCTTTTTTTGCAATACGGTTCATTACAAGTTATCTATTTATATTTTGTATTTCTTATCACTAGTTATCCCTAGCGGTAGTAGTTACAGAATGTACAGGGTGACCCAAAAATGTGCACATTGGTCTTCACTGAATCTCCTGCTTCAAAATCTTTTGTCGAGCTTCAGCTGTCATTCTGTAGAGCTGGTAACTTAGATTTGCAGTGTAGGGCGAATCTTCGATCTTTCTACATTTGTGTAGGATTACGGCAGGAACTTTGGAGAGTGTTTTAAGTCGGTAAGAGTCGCATTATGCTTCAAAAGGGAAGTCAAAAAATAAGTACTAGTTGATAAGTAGGTTGTAAGTCAAGTTATAGTTAGATTGAGTTGTAGTAGCAATCATGACATTGTGATAGAGCGCCTAAAGTGATGGTTCAGTGCCGATTATCCTGCTTCTGCCGTCCAAACTGTCCTCTCCAAAGACGAGCAATTTATAATTTCTTTATCGAGGCGAAGTCACAAGAAGAATGATCATTACCCAAAAATGCAATGAATAAAGCATACGTAAACAAATAACATTCCTACACTACAGCAATGTGTGCTGGTTTCTCTTGATCGCGATCCGCGATAGAGCCCTTTGTTCTTTCTTCGAGTGAATTATGTCATTACAAGTTTGAGGCTCAAAACCTTCTTGCGAGTTTTGGATTATTCGCTCAAGCTTGGAAGATCGCCGATGCCGTCTCGAAAAAAAGCAGCAAACATAGATGGACGCATGAAATGATCTGTAGCTTGTTCAATAGGTACTGCTAAATCATCAGTCATTTTGAATACCGTAGTGAAACTTCGATGAGATATCAAACCTGACACAATCTCTGGTGGATTCGCTTTGTGTTTTCAGTGCATCTAGAACAATTACTTCGCTCATCATGGAATTATTGTTGACGCTATATTTGTAAGCTTATAGTCAAAGTCCTACCTCAAGCTTTGCATCCCAAGGCATCATACTTTCGGCCAAAAGCTAACCGTTCTTACGGCAATCTATTTTGGATAAATGGATAAATGAAGGCCATGGATTCAAATCTGTGTGCAACCGTCTGGCCTGTTATCCTACAAACTTATTCAAGCATTATTTATTTTATTGTGGTTGTGTTTTTCTGCATAGCTCTGTGTTTGCATTTTCAACTTCGACATACATTTCATCCGTTTTTCAGGTGAGTCGCTGCTGTAGTGTATTTATCGCAAAGTGAAGTTGCAGTTAGAGGACAGCGTGGAAAATTTTGAAGAGAGTTTTTGCCCTTCTCCTGCCGTTTTTCAAAGATTCTCTCTGAGGCATATAGTTGATAAACACAGTTTTTAGGTAAATATATCAAGAACAATAAAACCAAAACAAGAACATCTGCGGTTAATGGCTTGTTGGAAATCGTAGATCAGCAATAATTGAGAAAAGGACTCAAAGGGTGTATGCGCACGTTCACTTTTTGAAAGTGGACGAGATCAGCATGCGCTACCATTTGGCAATCAAACCTCTGGAAAATTAAATTCTTGACCGTCAATATGCAGCATTTTAGACTAAACAGAGGATGACACCAATGGCCGTATTCATCATTGCTACCTTGAGGTAAATCCTACCTTCTGGTAGGATCATCACTTAAAACCCGTATACATCAATGTACCTTGAGGTAAATGCTCGAGGTTAAATCAACCTTGAAAATGATTTCGTGTGGAATGGATAATACCTTGAAGTGAATTTTACCTTAAGGTAGCTTTATCAGCGATAAATTTGTATTCATCAAACTTAATATTAGGTTGTCGCGAAAGTTTTGTCCGTTTTTTCAAAACACTCTAAAACCACGCTCAATAAAGACCTCAATGAGTTTCAACATGCATTCAATGCAGCTTTTCCTTCTCTTTCTTAGAAACAAGATTTTCGTACCATAATCTTGTATGCTTTTTTGATAATTGCCAAATTTCTCTACTCGTCAATTTTATCTGCTCAAACTTAGGCTAATTATCAAAAATTTCATTCCAAAGTTTCGGTAAAGGTTAAGTATGTATCAGATAGCTCAACTCTCGGACTACAAGGCAGTATCTTTAGATTCTCTTAAGCTGCTGTTTTTAGCTTTAGGCCTAAGGCATACTTCACGCGATTCCGCGAAATCGCCACATCCACGCGATCTGGCGATTTGCCAGAAGTCTATAGATTAGCCATGCGTGGGTCTCAGATGCATGGGCGCGTAGATTCCGTAAGTCGTAGCAAATACACCAAGTCTGGCCCTAGCAAGGTGCGTTTACGATCAGTTATGTAAAGTCGTTGCAATGCCAGATCGCGCAGCGAATAAAATCGCGTGAGGTATGCCTTAGGCCTCAAGAAAAATTTTTTGGGAGTCTCGATTTATGGCCAAGTCATGAAACACGCAACTGCAGCAAATACACGAAAGCTTTCACATTTTCTGTGAAGTGAAACATGATTCTTATTGAACATTATTTATGCAACATACAAGTTTGATTTGCTTTGAAAAAGCAGATTTTTGGAATTTTCGGTATTACGTTGGAGACATAATCAAAAAACCGCGGTTTTTATTAAATAAATAATTATAACGGACTTGGTAAACGTCGCCTACGTAACCTAAAATAAGTGCAATATAGCCAAAGGATGGCTCTACATAACAGTTACCAGCGCTCTTTGAAAATGTAAGGTAAAATTTTTTTAAAATTTAGGAAATATTTGGCGTAACTGCTAAGCTGCTCAAAAAGCTATGGCGGTAACATTGCAAAAACAGGGTAGGTCACAAAGCAAATATAGCTATAAGAAAGAGGATGAAAATCTGAATCAAATGGAACCTAAGTCGTCCATGGGTTGGTGTTCTGTAAGTTTGAGCGGATGAAAAAAAAACGGACAAAACTTTCGGGACACTATCTTACCTCAAGGTACATCCACAATAGAAACTCTAACCCTAGCAAAAGGCAAGCTTAGAAGTGATACCTTTAGAAATTTACAAGGTTTTAGAGGGTGATTTTTCACACGACACTGCAGTGAGGAAACTGAACCCACTGCAGCAATGTCTAATATCGTTAAGATTAGCTAGAATTATAGACATGTTAATAAGTTAGTACTACACTTCTCTTCAATTCTATGGATGTATTGTGAGTGTATTAAGACTCCTGTGAAACTGAACTGAACCAGAGAAAGCTAAACACATCCTTCATTTGCTCGAACAGCGTTTTGAGCATCATAGATGCATAGATATAGCATCATCCTATATTTTGAGCATAGCACACTGAAACCATAAGTTATTGTATAACACAAAAACAATCGCTTTACAAGCTCTGCATTCAAGAAAAGCCAGTGTTGACGTTTGCGTAACGCAACTCTTTAGCCTTGTTCAGTTGCTCAACTCAAAACCAACTGAAGTTATATCACTCAGAAACATGTGGGCCAGCACTTCAACAGATATGAGGTTCTACGTTTAGAAATCTGAAAAAAAGAGAAAGTTTGGCCTAGCAAAAAAATTTTGAATCTTTTGCTCTTTACTTACTTTGGTCATCTCAGCTTCGACTTATAAAATTGGGTTGTTGCCTCTGACATATAAGTTTGTAATGCAAGCATCGGAACCTCCGCAAAGCGTTTCATCACAAAATTTCATTTCAAAATTTTAAACTGTCTTGATAAAATCATACGTCCGTGGTTTGAAAAGAAAGTTGAGACAAATAGTTCACTAAACATCGAGCGTCCTCCCTACACTCAGAAGGGCTGAAAATTCTGTTATCGTCTAAGGATTGTTTCAAGCAGCAGCCGATTGCTGCCGCAGCTGCAGTCCATTGGTTGCAGCGAATGCGGTTTGAAACAACTCTAAGCTCATCAATGAATTAAGCAAATCTTTAGTTGTGAGTGTTTGCGAGATCACTTAATTGAAGCATGTCATGTGGAAAGTGTTCGATGCCGAACGAGCACAACATTCTTCAGGCAGGTAGGCATCGCAGCAGAGAATTTTTTTTCCAATTAAAGTAAATGGTACTTAGAAGCAGATAATTTCCCGGATAGAGTCTTGAAACCTAGGATTGTTGAATATATAGAATCTATCCTCTCCAATTTACCAATAGTAGCGATTCACATTCTAGATACACAAGTATCCACGCGCAAATATTATGCAGATATGAAAAAAAAAACAATTCACCGAAAGTACGCTTTGCCTTTCGGAAAAGTCAGTTTTTATAATGCTGGCACAGGTAATCTAGAGAGATAAATTTATACGAACTTATAACTTGAGGTAATTTCTACCTTGAGCTAACTTCTCAAGGTAACTTATATTGCAGTAGGGTTCGTTCTAATCTTACCACTGCAGTCGAAGCAGCCAGAAAAGTTAGTGCCATAAACTCATATATTCTTCAAATCACAGATCCTGAGAGCGCACAAGAGGCGGATGCTCAGTAAATGAAGAACTTTGGGACAGCCGTAATGCCAAGGGGACTGCCCCTTCTGACGACATAGTCCTCCACCTACGTCATCGTGTCTTGACATGTGGGAGTTGACTCTAGGTATAGTCCATCTCAATGAATCAGCCAGACGTTGGCTCAATCGCGTGTTCGCAACAGTCGCAGTCTGTGCTGCATGCACGCTGCACGCGCGCGCTGGAGAGACCGCAGAAATTGAGGAGAGAACACATGACAGGCCCTGCAGCAGACCGCAGACCTGGGGCGCTATGTATCAATCGCATGATCGTGAGATCTTGTGCTCGCTAACGTTGCAGACATGCCCATAATCAGGTGCGAGCATACGATCTCGCGATGTATCAAGCGCACGATCTTGCCACAAGATCGTGTAGCAGCGCACGATCTGTCGAGATCGTGTGCCGTCCATATGACGTCTGGAAATCGTTGTGTTCAATCACGGCCATTGTTTTCGCACGTCTTTACTGGGACAGAATGTAGGTTGAAGCATAATTGTCGCTGGCATACGAACTGGCAGCATCGGAAAGGATTGGAACTGCTGTTTAGGCGCCCTAGGAACTCTATACTCGGGCGTCGCAATTTTTGGTCATATTTTTTTTTATATTAGTGAGCTTAAGCAATCTTCCTTGGTCTTCATCTGTTTTATACTTGCAGCACAATACCTACCCTTCAGTGTTAGGCACAATCCGCCCAAGCACAGAATGCATTGTTGATGGGTTAAGGATTTTGGATTATCGAGGCAGTTTTGTCAGTGTAGAATTGGCAAATCGCTAAGGTCAGCTTCTCACATATGTTTTTTCGTATCGTTTAATTTCTTACCTTTTATTTATTTTGTTTATTATGTAGCTTCCTTTTTGTTCTTCACATATTCAAGCCATCAACGCGAAGGAACGTTATTTCTAAATAATGCGCGACCATCTCTTCAGTTTATGATTGATTCTTATGTATGGTTGGCTCCCAGATTCGCGTGGTTGCGGACTTTGCCTGATTGTAAGGACAAGTTTTTCACACCTTCAGGTTACTGCATTACTTTTCGTACCCTCTCGCTACAAAAATAGCCACTGTTTGAGTTGGCAGGACCCCACCTCCACAGAATCTGGGAGCCGATGGTATGAACTTGCGTTTGTGTAAACCGCTGTAGAGCTCCGCGTGGTCGCAAAGGTCGGTGAGTTTGCGCTCATTCTTTTCTTCAAATGCTTTCTGCTATCAGTTTTTAGCTCAATTGTTTGAAGCGACTTAGAAAAGTACGTTATATTTTGCTTGGTTAGAAGCCTTATCGCCTTTTGCGTATGCAACGGCCGCAAATTCACCGACATTCGCGCATCGTCACTCACAGCCCTACACATGACATTGAAATCAGATCGCTGATTGCAAAATTTTGGGATCTGTTTGTGATCTACCCAGCATAACCTGGAGTTACCGTGGCGTTGCTGTCATTATATAAAGGAATTTCAGAATCAACGTGATGTTTCTCCTTTACGTCATTCAATAAGTAAAAGCGTCAAAAGTTTACCGCAAAAAAATTGGGAGGATTTAGTGTGATGAACGGCACAGTGCGTAAGCCCCATTTTTCCTTTGAAAACTTGGTTGTCTCCCTATCAACCGTTTGTTTTCTGCCAAGACATCAAGCACCGTCTTGCTTTTTGCGTCGCCGCTTTATAGTTGTCTCTAACGGTACTTCCGTCGGTTTCCTTTCAGGACTGTGAATGTTTTCGCTTAACGCTGCACTGCAGCACCACTCTTGTTCAAAGGCAGTGGCAGGGGAAAATTGCGACTGCGGGCTTTCCACACCTTACGGCCTTGTGGGCTGAGTCTAGTGCTGTGCTTGTAAATTCAGAAGTGCAATTCACGGCGTTTTCCTGCCGTGGAGATAACTGGAGGGGATTGGCGAGAGATTCTTGCCATAAACACCGATTGGCTGTAGGAGACTGCAACTCCACCCATTTTAGAGGTAATTGGCTAGTCAGCTCGGGCAGCCGACTGCGATGTTGGCGGGAATCCCTCTCCCAATCCTTTCCAGCTCTCTAGGGTAGGAAAACGCCATAAAAAGCACTTTTTTGACATTTTATACAAGCACTGGACTCAGCACAGAAGGCAATAAAATGTGGAAACCTTGCAGTCGCAATTCTACCGAGCCATCGCCTTTAATGGCATGTGCATTTATTGCGTCAAAAGGAAGAAGTGCTATTTGGTTTGCACCATACGCATGTTTGTTATCTGGTGGTCTGTTTCGAACTAATTACAGTTTTTCTTGGATAGTAACTATAATTAAAAAGACCATATGAGCTGTATTGTGTGCGCGATCGAGTAGATGAAGTGCTTGTAAATATTCTCAGCAAATCCACTCATCTATCGTCGACTCATTCGTAGCCAAATGTTACTAAGAATTACGCGTTACAGCACACGCCTTATACTCCCTGTAAGTCGCCATTTTCTGGCTTTTCCTTCTTTTTTTCTACCCTTCTGTGCATGAGTAAATTCATACAAAAGTGAACATCTCCTATCGGTTCGGCATCAAAACGTTTGCACTAACATATAAGGATTGCTAATGTTCTGCGCATTGTCCGTAAGCTCTCTTACGAATGACTCGAGGATACTTGAAGGATGCTTGTTTTTTTTAGTAGTCCGTATATCAAAAAATAGAAGTGCGCAAATCAAACACTAGGGCGGCGCAAAGGAGAAAAGTGGGAAGGAAGAGGCACAATTCGGAGAAATCGAAGCGAAGTCACCTTAAGGATTCATTTCGCATTCGCCTAGCACGCATCCTCGATGTGCGCCAGTCCGGGTTCCTGGCGCACACGAACACCGCAGATCGCAGACGCAGATGTTGCGGATGACAACACCGCAGATGTTGCGCCTCAGGAGATCATGTGCTGGTTCCAGATTGTGTAATTGCCAGATCTTGAACCAGCACACGATCTTGCGATTGATACATAGCGCCCCTGACGATAGCTAATGACAGTGCGGACGGGCATCATGTCAATCTCGGCCTGATCCAGGGTGCAGACTTAGTATTTACGATCTGCGATTTGGGATATTTCCACACAGAACCGGTTTGGGATAAATTACAAAAACAAGATTGATATGTCTTTTAAGAGAGTCAGGCTGTGATTACCTAGTGGTTCCCTCTGTCTTTCTCATCCGCTCCTCCAGCGGCGCAACATAGGCAAAGCGAGCATTGTGTGCGAACGGTCCTAAAATGTATATAAACAGAACGAAAATAGAATAGAAAAGAGAGAACAACAATAAGGAAGTTTACACACCGCTGAGAGTTATGGCATGCCCTGAATGAGCGTCACTGTACATCATGCAAGCTGATAGAATCAACCTTGAGATACTTTAATGTATACGAAACAGCCTTAAGGTAGATTGTACTTTGAGGTATAAACTACCTCAAGGTACATTTTACCCCAGGTAGCAATGATGAATACGACCACAGGTCGCATTGATGCAGTCGAGAAATGCATATTAGCAGAAGCGTCTCAAACGCTATTTCAAATCCACTTTCCATGATAACTGCGGATTTTTTTTTTCAAAAGAAGTTTTGAGCTCGAGAACATTCAAAATTGTGAAGTATTTGATAATATATGTTGCACGAAAAGCATTCGCAAATGCTCCTCGGCAAGCTATACTCTTTTGTTATAATCAGAGTTGAGAAAAAGCTCACACAATTCTTTCGAAAACGACCTTACCTTTCCCGCAAAGCCCCAGCGAACCCTTCTTGTTCCTCTCCACCTCCTGAACCTCAGAGTGTGATATTATGGAGGTCATCATCCCGTTCTAAGATTTTTTCTTGTTTTTGAAGTTCGTACGCTCGATTTTCTGTGACTGCACCTTCACAAGCACGGCTCCATTTAAATCTACAGAGTCGGCTGCGCGAGCGGTCGCGTCGCGCTCGTAGCTTTTATCATCGGGTCGCGCCATCGTGCAATGCCATCTGGTGTAAATCTCAACATTTTCATTATGTGATGTCGCTAGTCCATAGATGGCAGATCAAAGGTATTGCAGTTTACGCTCTGTGAGCTCTTCTCTTACGTCGAGCTGCCAAATGATGCTGAGACCCCAGATATTCAAGATGCCCGTTTTTGGGGAAGCTGTGAGGTTTGATAATTACGTGAGTCCCCAAGCTCGGATGGGATTCTCACAATCGCTTCTGGGGTTTGAGATAATGTTAACCTTAATTCAGTTCAGAGCTATGACTGTAGCAGCTCCCATGCTCCGGGCAAATGCGTTTGAATTGTGCATTTATCTCAAACAGTTGGATCTTAACGGAATTCTGGGGGGTTTTTACTGCGCTCACTTTACAACACTGATTCTCACTTCTGGCTTTTTCAAAATCAGACTAAACAATGCTTAGTTTGCGCTTACAATTTGGAAAAGCTAATTTGGAGAATCGAATAGTTCGCAGGAAAATATATTTATGGCTATATAGCGGCGAAAATATAGCTTACGAGCAGGCATCCCGGGTTTCACTCTGGTTTGGAGCCAATCTATCAGTCTAAACTCCCCATCCTGCACACCCTGCACACTCTGCACACCCTGCAAACCCTGCACATCCTGCACACCCTGCACATCCTGCACACCCTGCACATCCTGCACATATTGCACATCCTGCACACCCTGCACATCCTGCACATATTGCACATCCTGCACATCCTGCACACCCTGCACATCCTGCACATCCTGCATACCTGCACAACGCGAACACCCTGCACACCCTGCACAACCTGCACCCGAATGCGTACAAACAAACTCACAGATTTTCTGCTTTATATATGAGATACCAAAACTTTTGCGCCATGGGTACTGCATCAACAAATAACTTACGAACTATGGAAAAGAAGAGATTACACAGACTTCCGCTCTTGCGCACCTTTCTCGTGAGCTTCTTCGCCGCTAATATAGTGTGTGTGCAAAGATGTTCCGGAGAGAGATGCTTTCAGTTACTTACAAGACCATGACTTTGATATATTTGGTCTTTTAAGTCTTGCAACATATATTTCTGGCGTCCTTTATCTAGCGTTATGTAAGAGTCACCCGAGACATCCGAAGTTAATTATTCTGTGCCTGTCTTATGTAAGGAATATGCAATTCAGTATGGTAGAGATGAACGCGGCGTACCGGAAGACTTTAACGATTAACAAAACTGCAGAGAGTAATTTTGCATAGTCACGACAAGATGAAAATAACGCAACATCGTTTTTGCTTTATAAGACGACTACTATCACTCCATATGCACATGCAAATCAAAACAGGTTTTATCTTTTAGGAAGACCTCCACAAGCACGAATACCAATAATCTTGAACGATTTTAAGAGATGGAGATGATAAGAATAATCGAGATTCACGGAAGCGTCTACTCTAGCAGGATGCTTACGACATATCCAACAAAAAGGAAGAGACTCGCAATCCTTCGAATGATGTAAACAGTCTAGGCAGCATTTGCAAACGCATTTGGTACAAAAAACTCATAATAAATGAATGATATATAAACTCGTTCCGATTAAACACTATGTTCAAATTTTCAGGATAGATCGTCACATTTCACTGTTACAAAATCGTTGATCGCCGCATTTCAATGTCATGAAAACTGTTAATGTGTCTACAGGTAACCTGATAGCATACAGTGAAGTGAGTAGGTAGCTACAAATCCAGCAGAGCGCAGCGCACACGGAACGAACGTGACCTGAAGATAAAGCCTGCGCGGGCGACGACCTCCGGCGCAGCCGATTCTGTAAATTCAAATGGGGCCTTCAAGCACACGTAATAAGTACGGATTCAAATCTGAACAATCCCATTGAAAAATGAGTTTGACTCCAAATTTTCATTGTAAAAGGAAGAGGCTATAAGCTCAGTAATCATACTAGCGGTGGTGCGGTTTTCGAGTGAAGAAAAGTTAAGAGATATTGCTGTGTCGTCTCTTTGAGCAGCAACCAGGATGTTATGACTTTTATTCAACCGGCCAACGTTTCGGCTTTTTCGCCTTCGTCAGAGCCTGGAAAGTCGAATGTATAAGTGACGCATCCACTCAGACGCCAACATCAAAGGTCAAGATATCATTCAATCCGTGAACAGTACGAAAGCCAAGGTAGATTAACGGACCGCCAGAACTCCCTTAGATGACACAACAGGAGGCGCATTGACCACCGAATGTGGGATATGTACCTCCACCTCTTTTTATAGCAGCCGTGTGACCTGGCCTCATATCAAAACCTACAGAGGGATTGATATGGCGCGAGTTCGTTAGTTACCGCCAGGCACTCTTCCTTCCGGTTCATTTTTGGACACTTGGCGTTTATCCAGAAGGCCTCCAAAGTTTTGCGCGCCAGCAGTTCGGGCTCGTAGGTCAGTATCTTGACTCCAATTTGTACCTCGGCGCTTTCATGCTGCACGATGCGATGACTACCTAAGGGTGTTGATGGTTTTAACTTATGCAACCCGTCCACGTGTTCCTTAATGCGTGAGCAGAGGGGGCGGCCCGTCTCTCCTATGTATGTCTCATCACACGATAAGCATGTGATGAGATACACTACTCCCGATATCATACAGTCGCCCTCCTTACCGTATGGACAAATTACACCGTTAGGCGTCAAGCATGTGCGATCGTATGATCGATTCCGGACCAGTCGCCGTTTCAGATTGGGCGGCGTAATATCGATCACCCTAACGCTGTCTTGCAAACTTGCCTGGTATACGCAGCGCCGCACCGCAATGCTAATTTCGTCCGAGATGAACGGCAAGCAAAACGCGATTCGTATCCAGGAAGCTGGTACTGGTTCTACGGCCTGCTAATCCATGTGGGTTAGTAGTAGGCTCTGCACCAGCATACCCATTAGACTTGGCTACTTGAGAAGCTAAATCCATAGAGTAAATCCGTTCCTGAATACCCGAAGAAACTTTTGCTGTTGTTCGATACATATTACCTATAATCCTTTTAAGCTTTCTGGGGTGCGCTGACAGATAATGTACCAGTATATTTTTACAGCTGGGTTAGCGGTACCATTTTGTCTTATATTCCCCACCCGTCAGGCATACTTGTACGTTCAAGAACGGTAGCCAGTTTTCATGTGGTTTTTCCCACGTGAACTTGATGTTTGCGAATTGCTGATTGAGGAGATTGAAGCATATATCCATCTCGGTTTGAGTGGGACAGATTATGCAACAATCATCAATGTAGCGACAATACAGCAATGGCTTTCTGGTAAGCACGGCGCTTCCACTTTGGACATGAAGACGATGGCTAGCGTTGGAACTAAACGTTGACAGCCCAAACCCCTAATTTGCCTGTAGTAATGACCCGACCAGCGAAATGGAACAGTTCAAGCACTCCTTTAGGAGGGTCATGACGTCGCCAATGCTAAAGCCGTACAGACTAAGAGAAGCTTGGTGCTCCAGTAGCAATTCGTAAACAGCTTGCAACGCCGCATTATTTGAAACATTCGTATAAAGCGATGTTACATCGAATGATTCTACCACGCAATCAGAGGTTATGTGCGGTAGTCATCGCATCGTGCAGCATGAAAGCGCCGAGGTACAAATTTGAGTCAAGATACTGACCTACGAGCCCGAACTGCTGGCGCGCAAAACTTTGGAGGCCTTCTGGATAAACGCCAAGTGTCCAAAAATGAACCGGAAGGAAGAGTGCCTGGCGGTAACTAACGAACTCGCGCCATATCAATCCCTCTGTAGGTTTTGATATGAGGCCAGGTCACACGGCTGCTATAAAAAGAGGTGGAGGTACATATCCCACATTCGGTGGTCAATGCGCCTTCTGTTGTGTCATCTAAGGTGAGTTCTGGCGGTCCGTTAATCTACCTTGGCTTTCGTACTGTTCACGGATTGAATGATATCTTGACCTTTGATGTTGGCGTCTGAGTGGATGCGTCACTTATACATTCGACTTTCCAGGCTCTGACGAAGGCGAAAAAGGCGAAACGTTGGCCGGCTGAATAAAAGTTATAACATCTTGGTTGCTGCTCAAAGAGACGACACAGCAATATCTACTACAATGCCAAGATTATTGAACAGCCGAAGTCGGACCATCTTACAAAGTTAAGAGAGTCAGGCACTGAGCTACAAAAGCTCAGGCCGCCCGACTGTAATTCTCGTACATTCGACTACCTTTTCAGTTTTCGTAAGCATATAACTAACTTTATATTCAAGCATCCTGTTTGCGGAGGCGATGTTCATGTACGCTGCCTGCGATTTCTGTCTGGTGGCCATGAAGATCTTTCGCTCACTGGAGATTTCGGAGCTGATAATTGCTAAAGTATTCTACCATATCTATAACTACGCTTACGCTATGATAATTCCCCTGCAACTATGCTGTCTCATAGAAAGATTCGCAGCGACACTATTTATTCGGACCTATGAATACAACCGGAAATGGTATTTGCTATTCCTGTCGCAACCATTTTGTTTTGCATTCATATTTGCATTCAACAACATAATCAGAAAAGGTAAACTTTTGCAAAATGGTCCGCATAAACGGCAAAAAATTCTGTTTCTTGTTATTTTATATATTCAACCAGTAAATCATGCAAGTCCTTTAACATTCAATGCATGTGGTTAGATGCAAACCACGCGATTGCACGTTGCTAGAATGATTTTTGCTTTTCTGCGTTCTTCTACTTCATAAGTTTGCTAAACTTTGACTAATGGCTTAATCGGTAATTTTTTTAGTTTGTGAATTCCTCAACTTTTCCTAATTTCTCTCTTTATAGATGAGATGCAAAATTTTGCCATTTTGTAAATTATGGTGTGAGCTACAAATCTGCACAACTTGTTTTATTTCCAATGGCTGCGCATTCCCGAAGATAGGAAAATCAAGCTTTTAGGTTCTACATGTTCTTTACAACTCGAAATGCTTACACCATTTTGTTTGCATCATATCCTTGAAATGTTAGAAACGCATGAGTTTTGCAACGCACTAAAGTTTGGGACATTTAAACGACGCTTTGTTGCCATAAAAGTTTGGAACAGTTTTGATATCACTACATAAACAAGCACTCAGATCATAACCGGGGGCAGGCGACCATGCTGGCTTTTGCATAGATTGGTTGCGGCGCAGTGGCTGCATTCTTGCGGACCTTCCGCGAAAGTATGCAGAATTATCGGGGCCCACGGTCGTCTGTAAGGGACCGCGCAGTCCGTGAGTACCTTTCGCTGGGAGAAACTTCCAAAACTCGGATTGAACCGTCGATCACTCCTCTATTATGTAGAGTGTTACCTTTGTTCGGCGTACGCCTGAGTAAAAAGAGTCCGAGCGCCTGCTGAAAGTTTGGCCCGCGCTCGCTGAAAGAGGTTATTTGACGAGTGCTTGCAGAAGATATTGTATTGCTGCCTGCTGGCAGAACACGGAGGCACCTCGCTGAAGGTTTGGCCATGCCCCAAAATTTTGTTGACCGCTTGCAGAAAAGCGCGAGTTTGCGGACCGCCCGCCTCAGATAATCGCTTTTCCGGCGATTATCTGAGGCGGAGCGCTCTCGCATTCTCGTGGACTTTTCGCCAAAATAGCAAAGTTGTTGATTGCCGCACGGTCCTTTGTGAAAGACCGCACAGTTTGTAGGTACTTTCCACTGGGAGAAGGCACCCCAAACTCGGCTAATCAGATCATCGATAACACCGCTGTAAGGCAGGCGCTATACTGCTCGAGGAGTATAGCATGGCGACTGACGATCGCCATTTTCGGCGACTACACGTTTAATACGTATCATTAGCGACTGGCGATCGCCAATATCGGCGACTACACGTTTCATACGTATCGATTTGACGTGTGGTAACTTGTTTGGCGATTGGCGATACGATACGCATCAAACGTTTAGTCGCCACGACCGGCGATCGCCAATACCGGCGACAAAAATCGCCGATTTTACACGTATTTGATGCATATCGATCGTCGCCATGCTATACTCCTCGAAGAGTATAGCGCCTGCCTAAGGTTAACATCTTATATGGCAGAGGTGCGTAACAGATTCATATCGCTTGCTGAATTTTTGGCCAGAGCTTGCTGAAAGAAATTATTTGACGACCGCTCGCAGAGAACTTTGCATTGCTGCCCGTTTAAACATGCGACAGTAAAGGAAGTACCGCTCGCTAAAGGTTCGGCCACACCCCAAAATTCTGACGACCGCCTGCAAAAATGCGAATTTGCGGACCGCCTGCCCCCGGTAATTATCTGAGAAGGTGTCCCTCATTGAATTGCATGAAACTCTGCTTTAAAGTAACCTGAATAACGATTTGGTGACAAAAATATACGCATTCATTTGCGACTGATAGTTCTTCATTAAGAGCTCCCCAATTCCTAAGCTGGTTGTTTGTGTAGCCATCTGCCATTTACTGTATCTGCATGAGCTCTGATTCAGTATTATCTCTCTTCCTCTTCACTCTCTCCTAGGTCACTGATAGGGATTGAACAGCAGCAACTATGGCAAGTATGTCCTGTTCTACAGGGTGTCTCAAAAAATGCGAACACTGTTTGATCGTTAATATCTTTCTTCCCAACAAGTCTTTTGCCTTGTTTTAGGTACCGTTTTGTAGAGCTGGCTTCAACTTAGATTTACAGTATGGAGCGAATCATCTATCGCTCTTCATTACTGTAGGATTACGGTAAGAACTTCGACAAGGATTTCATCTATCGCTCTTCATTACTGTAGGATTACGGTAAGAACTTCGACAAGGATTTTAGGCAATTGGAGGCCATATTCTGCCTCGGAACAGAACCAAACAAGCCAAAAACTCTTATACTATGGTAATGGCAGCCGCTGATTTTAAATTTGAAATTCCCATTTTACTGTGATGGTTCTTTCCTAAGTTATCTCCGGTAAATCGTAATAACTCAATTCCCAGCATTTGTCAGAAATGTGATTACACCGTCAAAAAGGCTGAAAACATCGCAAAAAGTTGTGTAGTGGAATCAGCGTAAACGAAAACCTTAGTACATGATTTTTCAGATTTTTTGAAAATAATTTTGTTAGATGGCATATTTCACAATGGATCCACATGTTAAAAATTCATACCGTAATCCTACAGTAACGGAAAGCGATCGATGGCTCGCTCCATACTGCAAATCTAAGTTCAACCTCGCTCTACAAAATGGTGCCTCAAGCTCGGCGAAAGACATGAAAGCAACGGAGTTATTAACGATCAAACAGTGTTCACATTTTTTGGGACATCCTGTACTTTAGCTAGGTCAAGATCTTCAGTTTGCTTTGGACTTGCAGGAATCAGGCGTGATAATGCGTCGGCTTGCCCAGATTCGCTGGTTTACCTATACCGCCGATCAAAATCATATTCGAGAATACGAATTTCCACCTTTGGAGTCGATTTGCTGCATAGTTGGGTAGAACATGCTTTGGTCCAATTACTCACATTTTTCGGGGGCAAGCGGCCATCCGATTTATGGGCGGGCGGGCACCGCAAAAATAGTTCGCTAATTTCTTGCGGTCCGCTTGCAGATATTTGGAAGAATTTTAATGAAATATTAGAAATGCTTGGAGAACAATCGCGGTTTCCTTATAAATTAGCTGCGGCGCAGTAGCCGCATTATCGCGGACTTTCCGCGAGAATATGCAAAATTTTCAAGGGCCGCATGGTCCTTTCTGAAAGACCGCACATCCCTTAGGTACTTTTCGTTAAGAGAAAGTACCTCAAACTTGAGTAATTAAACCATCGATGACACCTCTGCAGCATAGAGTCTCACATTTGCTCGACGTACGTCCGAAACTGCTTAAAAAGAGTCCGAGCGCCTGCTGAAAGTTTTGCCAGCGTTTGCTGAAAGAGATTATTTGATGAGCGCTTGCAGAAAATTGTGTTGCGGCCCGCTTGCAGAACATTAGACGGTAAAGGAAGTACAGCTCGCCGAAGATTTGGCCACGCCCCAAAATTCTGCTGCAGAAAAGTGCGAGTTTGCAGACCGCCTGCCCCCGGCGATTATCTGAGTATGTGTAGCAATGGTTTGTAGTTCGTTAATAGTGGGAAAAGACGTTCGTAAATGTATCGATATTTGTGCACAGTGAAAATCAATGAAATACCAAATTTGTCCATAGTTTTTTCTACAGCAGTAAGACTTCGACTCGCACGGATCATAGCCTTTCCTTTCCGTCAGGCATTAAGATCGCTGCTCGTATGCCATAATCTGAAGCTTCGGCGGCTACGATTATGGGTATATTTGTTGAAGTGTGTTAGAAGTAAGCCTGAATCTATCACTTCTGTAGCATGATTGAACGCATCTTCACATTTTTTCGTTCACAAAAGAGTATTGTGAAGTTTTTTCAGCAGTGCAACCAAATCAATTAAAGATTTGATTTCGATAGTAGAAGTGCCGCCGAATAACTTAACTAGTGCTGCCTTAGTAATAACTTAACTTAATAACTTAACTTAACTTATTATATATGCGCATTTCGGTAAGAAATCGCATATATGACAGCAGCTGTACTACGGACAATTTATCATATGTCCACGAGGTAAAAGCGGAGATTATATGTCAAACTGGGATGGTCTACTCCATTTACCGTCTGAGGAGACGAGTGTGTAGCTGAAAGCACGTCCCCTATGTTTTCGTATGAAAGAACACTTAGATGGAGAGTTAAACAGCGAACTTCCACCCGTTAGGAACGCACAAAGTACTAAGGCATGAAAGATCCAGTTTTGAAGTGACCGTTAAAATATTATCCGTGAACCTTAAGACGGCTGCTCGCAAGTTTCTAGAAGCATTGTGGATTCATGCTAAAAATCCACAAATTAACCGTAAAAAAGAATGTCTCGCAATCACAAGAAACTATCTCCTTATCTGAGCCAACTGTACTGACCTTCCATTTGGGACTTCCATAAACGATTGATAAGATGTTGACCCTTTTGTCTGAGAAGCTTCCTCAAATGGGCGGGGTGGATCCTTCCGCGGAGAAGCGGTCTAGAAGCATAGTTATAAGTGGGGTGGCCGAGGCGGAGGAAAGCACGGGCTATCAGGATAGACAGCTTGACCTGGAGAAGAAAGTTGGCGGTATTTTAGAGATTCTCCAAGTGGAGTGTCGTCCTGTAGAATTGTACAGGATGGGTAGAATGGTTTTAAATCCTGCACGGCCTCGCTTGGTCAAGGTAGTGCTGCCGTCTATAGCTCATTGGCGCACAGCCTTGGCCAATGCTCGACTTCTTCGGTCCTCAGGTTTCCCTGACATCTTCGTCAGGAAAAGTATGACCCCTGAGGAACGGAAGAGAGACTATGAGTTACGAGTAGAGGCTCGTGAGCGTAACAAAGGTAAGCAATCTAA